CGCCATTTTGTGGGGGGTGCTGCAGCCCCACAGGGCTCTCTGCGGATCCGGACACCTTCCCCTCAGCAGGGGAAGAAAAAGTCAGGAAAAAGGCATTTATTTTTTTAACGCCATTTCTTATTTATTAGTGCTCGTCGCTCTAGGGGGATGGCATGCAGGAGGAGCAGAGGGCCCTGACGTGACAGAAACCAGTTCCCGTGGGCTTCAGTAGATATTGCCACGCAGGGAGGGAGAACATCACCTCAGCATTGGTGGCTTTTAGAGCAGGAGGGAACAGGGACAAGCCGTTAGCAGGTCCCAAAATAGCCGATGGAGGCAGTGATGGGAGCAAGGTGGGAAGGAAGGTGTAATCTTGCCCACCAGACCAGAGCTTCTTCAAGGCCACCATTGGCCACACCAGAGTGTCCCATCATCTATGCCACTTGGCTCCTGCTGTGTCCTGGGCATGGCTGGTTGAGGACCAGTAAGATAGACCTTCCTTGGCAGCTGCAGAGCAGCCCATGAAGACTTCTCCTCCATCAGCCTTGGCACCATAGTCACTGAAGAGATGTTAAACCCAGCAGCTGCGTGGGGCAGGGAGGTGCTGGGGGAAGCTTAGTGTCATAGAATCATCGAATGGTTTGTGTTGAAAGGGACCTTCACGGTCATCTAGTTCCACTCCCCCTGCCATGGGCAGGGACACCTTCCACCAGGTTGCTCAAAGCCTCATTCAACCTGACCTTGAACACTTCCAGGGATGGGGCAGCCACAGCTTCTCTGGGCAACCTGTGCTAGTGCGCCTCACCACCCTCAGAGGGAAAAATTTCTTCCTTAGATCTAGTCTGAATCTCCCCTCTTTCAGTTTAAAGCCATTGCCCCTAGTGTCCTCTGGCATTGGGGGTGGGAGAGGAGCAGGTCAGAGAGGCCTGGCTCCTTCCCCGAGGAAGACATCCATGGCAATGCAGGGAGAGCAACCGCCATGCCCAGGGAGCCTGAGAAGCTGGGTCCATCCTGCTACAGCAGCCTTGCAGGGCTCTTTGTGGAAGCCCCAACTTTAATATCGCTTCACGTGGGAGGAGAGCATCACCCTCTGCCTTTGTTAATGATGTGATCACTGTTATGGGTTTAAGATTTGTCGCCTGATATCTCATCCGAGTGAAAAGAAAAATTAAAAGAAGGGAAGCGTGAATTGGTACCAGAAAATAACCCAGCCACTTCAGATAGAATTGTTATGTTGTAGTAGGAAGAAAAAGGAACTTGCTGTTTGACTGCACACTGACACTTTCTCCTATAATCTCTTTGGCTTCCTTATTTTTATTGCTTTTCTCAAGTTTGCTCCCGATTTCTCAACAACTTGGGCATAACAATTTGCCTAGAGCTCTACACAGAGTCTACAGACTCTGTAAAGAAAGCGCCCAGGGCACAAGATCGCTCCATTCTTGTACTGCACTGTTATCTCACATCCCATTTACTTTCTTCAGCCATACTCAAGTCTTTTAGCATAACTGGTTCTGAGCTTACTTGGAGTTTGGTCATGTCATTTGAGTTGCTAAAGTCTGTCAAAATGAGGATCCTCCTGACTCATGGTAGAAACAAAAACCCAGGATCAGCACAAAAGGTGCTGCATTTCCAAAATGTAACAACAGAAATGCCAAAAGGTGGGCAAAGCCCATTTCTGCTGCCTCCCATGAGTGCCACCCCAGAGCCCATGAGTACCTCGAGTCCAACCCTTACCCCTAAGCGCACAAGTCCTTTAAAGATCCTCAAAAAGTGGATCCTCAAAAAGTGCTTAGAGGTGGGCTTCCAGGTCTTTGTAGAGGAAAGGCTCCATGGAAGTACAATTGCAAAGAAACTGGAGCGTTTCTCAGGAAAAGGAAAGAGAAGTCAACCAAAGCTGATTTAAATCAGCTCATCTTTTAATTGGTTCACAAACAATCTTCCTGTTTGTACACGAGTTCCTACACTTCTTTATGAAGAGATTGATTCTATAATCTTTTCTCAAGGAAATCAAGAAGCAAATGATTCGGGAAGCTGAAGTCAAGCTGTACAATTACGTATCCCTGAAAAGGGAGGAGAAAAAAAGAAAAGTATCGTATCAGTTGATGCCACACTCCCAAGAAGGGCTTTGAGAGTCAGGTATGTCTGAACTCTGCTTACCTTTCTTGTGATGATCTCAGGATTTTTGATCTCAAATAGATTAAGCCCTTTGCTGTTCATCAGTGACGTCAAAGTTGGTTCAATCCCTACAGAATCAGTAAACTCATCGAGTTAAGTGTACAGGCATCTTGGCTTGCTGCTCATCATGTACTGGGACCTTCTCTGCCTGTTGCCAAAGGCTAATTGTACCCTGTATTTCCGCCTGACAGAAAACTCACTTTTCCTTTGTCTCAGCCATTTACAAAGGGTTCCCCATTCCCCGAGTGAATCCAGCAGAAATTTGCATCAGTAATGTGTTTCCCTCCCCTGACCAGCCGTCAGGGTCATTGATGTATTTTTTCAGTGCTTAGGTTTAGGAGATCTCATGTTAGACACCTTACAGAATACGTTGGCACTTCCCCAAGGGGAAAACTCACTTGAAATCACTTCTGGGATCCCAACAACGGAGATCATTGTCTGCAGGAAGTTTCTTATGGACGGGTCATTCTGAAAGCCAGAAAATTCATACAAAAAGGTTTTAAAGACATCATTTAGCTTCAGATGGCCTAGAGGATACGTTCCTAGGACTTACCTCACTTGGATCAGCCGTGCATTTAAAGACTTTAAACTCTATCCTGAAGGGAAGGAAAGAGGGGGGAAAACAAGTCACTGAGATCCTCTTTTTGTTCCGCTCTCAGGCATGGGCTAAAAGAGGCAATGAAAGCCACAACGACCACAGTACCGACCTGGAGTCCAAAGGGTGCAAAATGAGCTTCTTTTCTGCATAGGCAGCTTGGATAGTGACGGTGATTTCCTGCACAGAGATGAACGGCAGAGTTGAGATGTAGCTCATATTGCCTTCTAGCAGGGAGTTGCATTTGGAAATTCTGGTTTGCTTTCTGTAACTCAGAGGACCATCCGTCTCAACATGGAACGATAGAATAGTTTGGGTTGGAAGGGACCTGTAAAAGTCATCTAGTCCAACCCCCCTAACATGAAAGATCGTCAGACTGGATGTAGAGGGGCCATCCCCAGGGTACCAGGCCTACCACAAGTAGTCTTACCATGGTGTTTTCATCTATAACCAAATTAAAAAATAAAGCAGTCTTTGAATTCTGGCCATTTAGGCTCGTTTTCTCGCTTTTGCTTGTATGCAGACGTTTGTTAAATGGAACACTTTGTGATTCCGTTGCAGGTCACAACCAGGGATCTGGCAGGCCAGGAGCAGATCGCATCCTGAGAGCATCACATCACATCATTTTAGGGACCACTTCTAGTTCAGTGCTTCTGTGGTCCTACCAAAAATTTGTTTCAAGATACCACCTGGAGCACAAAAACCAGTCGTGCATATTTCACAGTAACACCCTGCTAACGTGGGATACTTGCAGAGGGCAGGAGGGAATTATTCTTGATTACAGTTTAATCCTTTAAATTAAAGAATCTGGTCTACCCTCAGGCAGGTATTTGCTTTTGTGCAGTGTTTAGTGTTCGTACCAGCCCATAATTACAAGGCCGGACAAACATAGTGCTTTCTTGTGATGCTACCCATGACAGCAAGGCTGTTGGAATTCCTTTTTTCTGCCTCCTTAGATTCAGTATAAAGCAGTTTGGGGTAAAACATGGTGTAAGCAGGAACTTTCTTTCATACAGGCATACATAGAGGAAAAGGTTGTATTTTGAGCTTCGCATTCTTCAGAGCTGTATCTTCATTTTAGAGACAACCGTCCTCTAAGCGGGGGCCAGAGCTAATATTTGGGAATGAGGAGATTTCAAAATAAATACATGCCCATGGTGCCTTTGTTTTCTCCTGAAATACCTCAGCTAAAGGAGTTTCACTGTGTCCAGTACGGGTTAATGGGGGCTCATCAGAGCTTTCCAGTGCTTGACCACCAGTGGTGGGCTGGCCTAATAGAGGAGGTGTTGAGCCAAGACAGTCACTATCGCCATTCCCAGCCTCAGATGTTAAGGGAAGAGATGAAAATGTTAAAAGGAACTGATATGCCTTCTCCACCTCCCGCGGTTTTGCCACCACCTCCTTTCCAAAGGGCTCCCTACCATTACTGCCCCTGAGCACAAGGAGTGGTCCAGACTCAGGACAGAGCCTGTCCCAAGGTCTTCACAGTCAGGAGAAGCAAGAACTGACCTTCTCCATGTACAGAACCATCAGGGGCTCTTCTCCCACGGGAAAGATGCTGACCTCCACTGCTACCAAGGACTTCACCACTGTCCCTTCAGGCTGAACAGCGATTTGGGGCTGGGCGAGACTCCACACCTTGGCCACAGAGTCGTTATAGGAAGCGCCTTGAAAAATCTGGTCAAGTAAGGAGCAACAGAAGAGTCAGGATTTTTCCATACCACATCCCAGTTTCATCCCAACTTGCCACACAGCTGTATCCCTTCTGTAGTCCCCGATTCCTCCTCCAGTTCACACAAGCCCAGTAACACAGCCCGGTTTCAGGGAAGCTGTGCCAGCATGGAGAGTGGAGAAATCCTCCTCTCAAAGCACCACAGTTTCTCCATCAGACCCTGGTTTTCCCCATCAAGCCCACCCAAGACTCAAGTTGTCAAGGGAAGGACACAAGATGCTACAGAATCCATTTGAAAAGTTCCTCACTTGACATAAAATGCTCTGAATAGGACCAAAATTTACCGTCTGCACTGCCTTCCGCTGCGCTTCCGTGTCTTCCATTTCAAACAGCGCCTTCAGAAGCAAACCAGAAACAAGTTGTAGAAAAATGAAAGACAAGGTTATGGTTAGCCCTGATGCAGGTTGGATGGGCCAGAGGGCTGGTGCGTGGCTCATGGCCAGTTCAGAGACATGGCTGCGTTCCTCTGGAGCTCACCCCCTTTCTACCTTGGTGCTCCCACAGAAAATCACTTCACTTTACAACTCGGATGACAAGTTTTGTATCAGCTGGTGTTACGGCTCTAAGGGATAACACTCCCTGGTAGCACATCCTTGCTAAGAAGGTACCAATTTCTGACCAGGGTTGAGTGGAGTGACTGACTGTAGATATCTGTCTTCTACAGAAAGTAGCTCTCCCCAAAAAACGGTATTTAGAGAATTTTTTACTCTCTCCCCAAAACACGATGCATGAGTTAAGGAGGGAACCACCCCTGAAATAGTCACCTGCAGCTTCTCCCCTCTGATGGTCGACACCAGGCGCTCATCTAAGAACGCTGCCGAAGCCAGAGAGTTGAGGATGTGCTCGGACAGCCAGAAGTAGAGCATTCGGGACTCGGTCAGCAGCGACGGGGAGAAAACCGAGTCACTGAAGACGTTGGAGTAGTTCTCGTACAGGACAAGGCCCTTTGAAAGGAAAGCGAGCGTGTTGGCCGCGACGAGCAGCACGGAGACGGGACAAAATGCCAGTACCTGCGTTTTCATTGCAGGGCGAAAGGCCTGGCTGGCTGGACTCAGCAGGGAGAAGGCTGCTCGGCCGGGTGCAGGGCTGGCATCAGGGCACACTGCACACTTACCTTTGGCTGCAGCGCAGCAGCACCGCACGGCAGCGAGGGACCGGCCTCTCCCAGCCCTCCAGCCAACGTCATTGCCAGAAAAACTTTGGTCTCCGAGCAGCCCGGGTTACTTTACCTTGTGATGTGATTCTAGGTAATTTGCTTTTATTAAAGGAACTGATGCAAGGGAGATATCAAGTCTGATATCCTCATCCTGGACAAAATTCGCTGCAGGAAGAAAGCACAAAAACCTCACACCAGGAATACGACCTTAGGCAAAGCTCGCGACGGTCGCTATTAGGACTTGCTGCAGAAGGTGACTGGGAGTTATAAAAGGACACAGAGATGGGACTGGGGGGTCCCACTGCTGGTCCTGCTACTGCTCACTGACTCAGTTTCTCCACTGGGAAATACGGATAATTACTCTCAGTTTTACATTCTGCTCCTTTCTGCTCCTTACATTCCTCCTTTCCTGAGTCCTGATATTTGGGACTGGGAACCATGTGAACGTCTTCAGCAGGCAGATACAGATGCTGTAGTATCTCAGCCCCAGTACTCCAATGCATGCTCCTATTCTAGCTAACGTCAGCCCTTCTGCAGCTATCCTACACCTCTGGTCCTTACATAATGAAGGAGAAATTCCTTATGGACTGAAAAATGTCTTTCAACCAGTGCAATCACTCTTAAAAACCAACATGACGCAGAAAATTCAAAGCATAACCTTGCTAAGGTTTGTTTTGCTGTTGTCTGAGGGCCAGGCATCCCATACATGTTTTCAAAAGACGTTTTTGATGATGTGGCTGCTGCCTTGCTGGGGCTCAAGTGTCAGAAGTTGCATATAAAAAAAGAAAGGATATTTACCTGCTAAATCATGTATAAAATTTGCCAGCATCTGGGCAAGAGAGTTTATTTCATTGCACACCTGCAAGAGGAAATGAGAGAAAAACTGAAGGTGGGGGGAGAACTTTGGGTTGTGAAGTGGAGCTGGGCCTCATGGAGAGACTTGGGGGCTATTGGTCAGAGTCCAGCACCATCAGAGATCCCAGTGTCAGCGCAACCTCCCGCCTTATCCAAGCTGAGGGTTTTGTGGATTCTCCTTGTCTTATTTTTGCAAGCACTAAGTGTGTTTTGCTATTATCTCGGGGCATACGTGAGCAGAGGAGCGTGTAGCGTACAAACCAACCTTTCCTCCGTCCACAGGCAGTGGCGGACCTTACCTCGCTCTTGAGAACCAGCTTCAAAGTGAAGGAGATGAAATCCGTGAAGAGCTGCTTCAGCCAGCCTGGCCTGCGTGAGACAGGGAGCGCAGTCAGAACCACCCAGCCATCCCCGTGGTGGTGGGTGATGCTCACGCTGAAGCACGGAGGGACCAGCAGCTGGGCAAGTGAAGCCCAGTTTTGAAGGGGGAGACACCTACTCCTTGTCTCCTTGGAGGTGAAGCGTCAGTTTGTGGAAAGTCAGGTAGCAGTCTGAGGCATCGGCAGCCACTTGGTCCTTCTGACACACTGCATGGGAAGAAAGAAAAAAGGAAAAAAAGTAGCTAATTTGCTACTAAACCAAGGAGGACACGTGCACTTTGCAGACACTGCAGACCTGAAGCAAGGCATCACTGCAGAGGGGCAGCCACAGTTCCCTACCTGGGGATGTTTCCAAGAGACTCAGGACCCTGCAAAGTCAGATGGGGCCACCTTGCACGTGGATGGAGGGTTTCTGCTCACAACTACAGCCGAGCTAGTCTACCGGACACCCTTCTTCATGCTTCCTTTGGATACCTGCCTGCTTCACTAGCTCCTATCATCAGGGACTTGGTTGTCTCCTAACATCAGCCAGGAGAACCTGGGCAGTATGTGCAACCCAGAAATCAGAGCAGGGAGGGAGTTTAGTCGTGTTGCAAAAAGCTTGGAAATTGCATTATACTGTCGTTGAGAGCTTCATCCTGCTCTCCTCCTGGAAGCTTACCAGGAAAATGTATTTTGAGGCACATGTGATGACCGACATCTCTCTTGTCCCCTGTGGCAGATGGGAGAGTGTAGTTTGCCTCTGTCCCTTTCTAGTCTAAGTCTGTTGACCTTCCCAAGGAAGAAGCTGTGTTTCCCAGAGCACAGCTTGGGCCTGACCTGGAGACAGCTGAAAAAGTGGAGTATAAGGACGTTCAAACCTCCTGCACAAAAGCTCTCATTTGGCTCACTCTTTTGTAACATCACCATGTGTTTTTTCAAGTCATCCTGAACAGCAGGAGATGAAAAGCTGATGCTGGTGAGAATCCAGATGGCCAGACCGTTCCTTCAATTGCTGCTGCTGTGCATCAGCATTACTTTGCTGAAATTATTTGAACCAGCTTCCTCTGCTTGGTGTGTTAAAACTCTGAGGTCTTTGAGGGCCACGTTGTCTCCTACCCTGTGTGC